TTACTAGATATCACGTAGGAAGAATGTTTATTTTTTTTTGCTGAAATCAGCTTTTATTAAAATGACGCTAATTACATGAGTTATTTAGGTAGCGGTCTGCCCCCCTGCAGCGGCCGGCCCACGGGTAGGTTCCGGGTCCGTAGCCTCAGGTGGCAGCCAGAAGAAATTTGCTCTCATATACTCCTTTATAATAAAACAGCCAACCTGATTTGTATTAGGATCAAATAGAATGGCAGTAGTGGGTGGGGTTGTACGAACAACAAATGTTCCTCCAAAGAGAATGCCAACTTGCCACAGGAATGGCTGGACTAGGATATGGATTTTTTGGATTTCAGTCTAGTTCTTTTTGATTTCAGTATGGAGCTTTCCAGTTTCAGCAAGGATTTTCTCCAAGTCAGCTCTTTAGTCCCTATATATTACCTTGATTGTGTACTTACCTGCTCAAACCCGTTTTCCATTGTCACCTTTATATTGCTAAGGTTCAAGTTCTTGGAGACATTGACTTTGAAATCCATATAGTCCTTTCTAATTGTTAGCTTTCACCATGAACTCAACTGATACAAACAAACCATACTTTGATGTTGGCTATGAGACAATCATCAATTTTGTTGATATAGTGCTACTAATTCAAATACTTATTAGATGCAGGTTCAATTATCATATGGATAATGCACTAGACAATCATCATGCCAGCTGCTCTTCTGTTGGTAGAGCTCATAGCCTTCATCCTTGTTGTTTGCTTCCTCCCACTCACAAAGGCCATTGTTATCTCTAGTAGTAAAAAAGCGATAGATGCAGGGTTTTCTGAGAGATGAAGTAAACTCCTTGCATTTTTGCAAGTAGATGAAGCATATGGTTATGGTACTGATTGGTTGTAAATACCTGAAGTGTTGTTTTGTAAGTGGCGATTAGATGGGTGGAAGAGGATGGGTGGAAGAGGTTTGAATGCTTTTCAGGGTGGATTACATACTTATTTCTACCCTTGTCCCTGTACCAAGACCTGGTGCCTATTCTGGAATACCTGCCTCTTTTGGAAGGACACTAAGGCTGTGTTTGGATACCACCATTCCATTCCATTCGCTCACTAGCATACAAATTGCCTAACTGCTCTGTTAGACAATGGTAATTTTATGGTGAACTGATGAGATCAGAGTTCAGATTATGACAAATTTTCCTTTTCTATTTTTTCTCTTATATTCCTTCAGGGGAAGGATGTTACAGGGTCAGGTGTTATTGTTATTATGGTGAGGGACGTCTGTAGCCGGAGCAGGCAGACATTCATCACAGCTTAGCAATAGTAAGTTAATATACCAAGCAGCAGACTAAATTGAGGTTAGTTTCTTGACAAATATCTATTAACTAACGGTGCCAAGGAAGTTAACAGAAATTAACATGCTCCAGACATTCTCCAAAAGTTTATCTAGTTTTAACCTCTTATAACTCTATGAAAACTTGTGGTATTTTTATTTTCTCTCTATTAATATACAGAGAACCCCCTACTGTATCATCTGATAGAGCTATAATTCTCACCAGAGCAGTTGTTAGAACGCCTTTGCAGCTTGAGGTTGAGCAATAATTTCTTAGCAAATTATTCTGGCTACAGAAGTCCCTCACCATATTATTATTTCCCATAAATGTTGGAACAATTTCGCCCCTGCAGTGGAAGTTGTCGCTAGTACTAGACTGTGTGAGGGCTCAGCAAGGCGACACTCTCAGTCAGGCTTGGCGATATTTGGAAGCAAAGATTAGAGAGTTTGTGCAGTGAGACCTAGGTAGTGTTAATATAAGTTAACAATAAGGCTTGGCCACCTGGTTCTTTGGTCCCACCTAGTCAAGATATAAAAACCTGAAAATCAGACCTGGAATTGAGGACCACAAATACCCACTGGAACTGCACTTTTATGCCTCCATTCAGGTATGATTTTGTAGCTATTTGTGATGGACAGGGTCTGAGGGTCGGGTAGCCTAAGACACACCACAATTGGAGTAGGCAGAAGTTTGAGGGTAAGGTCTGGGTGTGGAGGTACAACTGAAGCGAGTGGTACAAGGTTCGGGGTTCAGGGGCTCAGGGTCAGGGTTCAAGGGTTCAGGAGTATGCGAAGTAACAGAGAGTGTAATTCCTAGGTATAGGTGTTCAGAGAAGATTACCAGATTGCATAAAGAAAGTAAAATATAAAGGAGCAAACCCCTTTATATAGAGAGAAAATCCTCCTTGATTACTAATACAAAAGAATGTTCTTGGCATCGTGTACAACCGCAATTCTTCTATCAAGTTCCGTCGCATTCCGTTGTAAGGCAACATATTCCAATCACATTATATAGGAAATCCTACTATGCAACCAAAAAAACCACACCCGATAT